CCTGACTGGAAATTGAACCAGCGATTCTTTGGTGCACAGGACAACATCCAACCAACTGAGCCACACCAGCCAGGGCTAGAGTTCCTTCTTTTTTCCAGCTAAGTAGCATTCCATTGTGTAAGTGGACCTCAACATTTTTTTTTTCCCCCCTGCAGTTTTGTTTTATCAGACATCTATGAAGACAGAGTTTGCAGATACAACCTTGTCAAGTCGTGAACTGCTGCAAAGTTCTGTGAAGTTTGAACAAGACCCATTTTAGAATATAGTTCCTTATTCCAAGCAGACGAGAGGTGTAACGTTACGGCCAACAACTTATACTAGCCATCCAGTTAAGCCATTTCCCAGCACAGATATGCAGCTTAATCACAGCTATTTCGTCTCTACAACATGAAGTTCGATCGTCAGCTAATAGTACGTTTTGACTCCTGTGTATACTGGTGCATGCGATTCTTTGCCACCCTGGCTGTTAACCAGAGCTGGGCTCTAAAAGCTAAACTTGATTTAAATATCATTCTAGGGGTAGGGCAGGCTCTGTGATCTGGACGTGTCCCAGCCACCACTATGCAAAATGCTGGTACATCTCCTCCTCTTTCCTGTCTTGTCTGCCTGTAACCTGTCTGTCATTGAGCATTTAGTAATGCCTGCTACGTACAGAAAGGGCAGGTACAAAGGAAATCCTTTGACAGTTCTGCTTCCAAGAAAGGTGAACATCAGATAATAAACTGAGGACAACTGAGTAATGTGTCACGACAACAGGCCTTTTAGAAACTTTCTAAGATTAGATAATGTGTCCAAGTGTACTTACCCAGTGCTCCTACTCTAGAATATTTCCATGGAGGGGAAGGGAGAAGAGGGATGGATCTGGGGATTCCCTTTAAGGAGTTCCACTTATTGGGGCTGCATCTCTGGGCCAGAAGCAAGTCCAGTAAAACGATCACGCCCTCTGCATCCTCTATTTGCCAACACTACAGATTTTCAACCAGCTCGTTTTAAGAGAAATAGCAGACAAGGAGACATCCTTAATGCAAGGTGGGAAAGGTCTTCCATCAGCCACAAAAAGAGGGACTTGACTGTGTCACCCTCACTTAATCCGGTAGAAAAGCTGGATCTGCGCCCCACCTGATCTTTCCTTTGACCCTGGTGTCCTGAGAGCATCCTTAGAGTGACTGCTTTGCCCCACAAGGAGAGATGACAACCCTGCCGGGACGCAGAGTTTTCGTAGGTTTTTCTGCACAGTCACTTTTCTTACAGAACCAGAACATTCAGTTCTCGAAGACTGGACAGGAGAATCGATACATTATTACGCTCCTTTAAATATAAACCAGGACCCTTTGGGAAGGGGGTGTGTGTGTGTAGAAAGATCTGATGAAGCTGCTGACCCAGGTGGCCCATTTGGTCAGCGTATTCTGACCCCAGGCACCTGTCTACTGCTCAGTCTTGCGTACACAGTCCACAGCTTCAGTGTCGGCGCAAACTGATGAGCAGGAAAGCACAGTGAAGAAATGAAACCATGGAAAATTAAAGGCAGCAATATCATCAACAAAATTCAAAGAGCAGTTTCCTTTTTTTTAAGAAAAACAAGAAAAGCACATTGTAGAAATAAAGAATCTGTACAATATTCTAATACTATCTGTACATAAAATTATATTACTTCTAACTAAGTTGAAAGGTCTCATTTGTAGAGTTTGGCTGGCAACACCAGAGGCCCAGAACAAAGAGCTTTTGAAGCAGAGCAGGCAGCAAGACCCTGGCCAGCACCCCTTGTGCCTGGACGAGAGCCTGTGGCTGTTGTGCGACTAGCATTCCCAGTTCTGTGGTTTGTGGTGAGGACCACAACTTTTTTATCCACTCATCTACTGATGGGCACTTGGGTGGCTTCCAAATCTTGGCTATTGTAAATAACACTACAATGAAATAGGGGTGCATATGTTCTTTTGAATCAGTGTTTCGGGTTTCTTTAGATACATACCCAGACGTGGAATTTCTGGATTAAGGCAGCTCCATTTTTAATATTTTGAGGAACCTCCACACTGTTTTCCACAGTGGCTGCCCCAGTCTGCATCCCACCAGCAGTGCCCTAGGGTCCCCTTTCTCCACACCCTCACCAGCACTTGTTGTTTGTTGATTTGAGAGACACTCTGATATGAGAGGGGATATCTCACTGTGGTTTTAATTTGCATCTCTCTCATCATTAGTGATGCTGAGCACCTTTTCATATGTCTGTTGGCCATCTGTACATTCTCTTTGGAAAAGCGTCTATTTAGGTCCTTTGCCCATTTTTTAATTGGTGTTGAGTTTTATAAGTCCCTTATAAATTTTAGATATTAACCCCTTATCAGATGTATCATTGGAGAATATGTTCTCCCCTTCAATGGGTTGTTTTTTTCATTTTGTTGGTGGTTTCCTTTGCTGTGCAGAAGCTTTTGAGGTTGATGCAGTCCCATTTGTTTATTTTTTCTTTTGTTTCCCTTACCCAAAGAGATACATCAGAAAAAAATATTGCTCAGAGAAATGTCCTAGATTTTACTGCCTATGTTTTCTTCTAGGATTTTTATGGTTTTGAGTCTAACATTTAAGTCTTTAATCTATTTTCAGTTTAATCTTGTGAATGGCGTAAGAAGGTGGTCTAGTTTCATTTTTTGCATGTATCTGTCCAATTTTCCCAACACCATTTATTGTATAGAGTATCTTTAGTCCATTTTATGTTTGTGCCTCCTTTGTGATGAGTCAATTGACCATAAAGGTATGGGTTTATTTCTGGGCTCTTTATTCTGTTCCATTGATCTTTATGTCTTGTTTTTATGCCAGAACCAGGCTATTTTGATTAAGGAGTCACACTTCTGACCAATGAAAATACTAGCCATTAAGAAGCAGATGTAGAACATCAAAGTGATAACAGTGGTGAGCTCTGTAGAGGGGAGGAGAATTAGGACTGGTCCAGAGACTTCCAACCAAAATTAAAGTTAGAAGTTTTACAAGGATTTAAGGATTTATTCACACGTTACTTGTATAACTAAAATAAATACTTTTTGATAAAAGAATTCCATATTCCTAAGATTACTCTAGTATCACAGATTACTGATTTTCTCAGTGCCAACATCCTACTGTTTTGGGAGATACGTACTAGGTTTTATAAATTCAGCTGCTTTCAGGAGCACAGTGGGTAATAATATGAGTAAAGCTGAGTGTATATGCAGCATATAGGCTTTCAAATTCAAAACTATAAAAGACATTGTACAGATTAAACAAGGCACTTCTGCAAATTAAATATAACTGGCAGTCCATTACTTTGCTATCTCTCCCAATCTGTGTTTCTCGACTTTTTAAATTGCCTTCCTTTAAATAGTAAGATTTCAAATCTCCTTTAAAGTTGTTTGAAATTTCATATCCCATCAAATCTTGAGACTAAAACCAAATCACAACAATTATATTACTGGAAATGTTCTTCTAAACTCAATGGCCCACTGCGCTTCCCTAACCCATTTAAAATTATTGTCCCTAGACCTTACCCTCACCTGAAATGTCACCATCTCAATCGCCTCACTTCCCTAACGCTAACACTGGCTCTTCAACTTCACAGTCTCATAACTCTTGTTAATTGTTTTTTTTAGTCTCCTTTTCTTCTGCAGGTCTACTTAGTAATTCCGGAAAATGACTTTAGTCAGGACCTTTGACCTTTCCTCTAGCATCAATAACAAGCTCTCAAACTCTTCTGCAAATATACCAAACCATTTGCAGTTCTCCAAATAAACCACAATCACACAATGTACTTTCTGTATAAAATGCCTTTCACCTTTTAATTCTTATTCATACTTAAAGACTGAGCTCAAGCCACAGCTCTTCTAAAGCTTTCAGAACAAGTGTTTCCCCACCTCAAACCAAGCCAGGGAGTGTTCTTTCCAGCCCCAACCTGTCACCCATGGTGCTTCAACTACAAACATTTAACATGCATACTATTTGGAAAATATTTATAGTTAATATTAAGAAAAGATTTTAAAACTAGAAGAAGCCTTAAAGATCATTTCTTCTTGTCATTTTACAGATTAGTCATTTTAAAACAAAAAAGGTAAATGATATAGTCAGCTGTCAACCAGATCTTATAAAAAAAAAACAAACACATAGATCTTACTGGAAAATAGAAAAAAATTCCAGTTTGACCTCTGCAAATAAACATTAAATTGATATCCAGGAGACTTTCTCAATTTATGTATTTGTGATTGTCAATCCATCAAAGATCTGTTTTTAAGATGAAGAAAGAGGTTGGATATCTTATAGTATTAAAGCTAATTTCATATACACTGTACAACAATCTTCAACTGAAAACAGCTTGTCAACTGTATGCCTGGGCCTTCCAGACCACGTATTTCATAGTAAATGCTATACTTGATACTATTTCAAATATACATATATGGAGAGATGGGGGAGCTTATGCTGAAAATCAGAATCCCGAGCCTGGCCAGAAGCACACACCTATGCAGCATGCGCGGCCCTGCGCGACCGTCCAGGATGGGGCACTTTCTTGTTTATTCATTCCTCAGTCCTTACTATTTTCAACTGGGAAGAGTGGGAAGAGAACCAGACTTAAATATGTAGTGTGAGAGGGGAAGTAAGAGGCATAATAGGTTAATGCTTAGATAGTAAACAATTTTTGTTATAAAGAGATAGGAAGTGGTATCTCTACCCCTTCTACTACATGGAAATTCTCTTACACTAACAAACTCTGCTTCTAAAAAGCAAACAGTGCCCCTAGCTCCCACAGGCAGGAGTATGAAATAAACTTTATTCATAATGTGAAGTTTCCTAATTATTCATCACCTAGTAAACATTTCTAAACAATGCTGAACCCACTGTTTTAAGCAAAGGAGCTAGGAGTTTGGCTTTCATAAGTCATCCCACTTCCATAGTTCTTAAAAGCTACATAGAAGGAACAACAATAAAAAACCTTCACTGACATACATCTTACTGCATCACACATTTGTCAAAACATCTTAATTTCTAACCTGGAATGTCGGAGGCTGTCCTTTTTGTTTTTTGCAGAACACATTGTGCATTCACAGCCAACCGCATGGGGCTTGGGGAGAGACACATCCTGTTTTAACAGCATCGTAAGGATTTCATAGTTGTTACGATGAGCAGCTAAAATGACAGGTGCGACATCCATAGTTGTTGAATACTCAGGATTCTGAATTTGCTCCATTAGTTTCTGAAAAATATTTATATAAGTGTTCAAAAGTTATTTGTGACTTCAGAAAAACATAATTATTTGAAGAACAAAATAGAAAAAATTGGAAGGCACAAAGAACAATTATTTTAAGGAACATGAAAAAATAGGCAGAGCATATATGCATGAAAAAAACTAAAAATTCCACCTGTGTGGCAAACCTTGTTACACTGATAGCAATGAAGCTGCTTGAAAGGGTAAGTAAACAGGAAGCACTCTTTATTTTGTATAATTCTCTATCATTACCTATATCACTTTCGTTACAAATGCACAAAAACACTAACAATCATAGCTACTATAGACACTTTGCACTTATCATCTCATTTAATCCCCACAGTATCCTGCAAAACTGAACAGTACAATCCCCAAGAAGAAACCGAGGCTCAGAGAAGTTAATGTGTCTGAGGCACACAACAGAAGGGCAAACTGCAGAGCAGAACTCAGATCTTCGTTACTCCAGAGCCCGAGCTCCTCCACTACACGGGCTCACGGGCCTGATGATAGCAAGACAGGAAGGAAAAACATTAACAAACAGAGAATCAGGGTTAAGTAAAAAGGCTGACTATTGTATGACTGTTGCGTATTTTCACTTTTTCAGAGGTTCCCCTGAGAGTTGTTTTATTCCATAGTATAAGCTGATCAAGTTCACAGTTTTATAGTTTTTATTAACATTGTAAAAGTAGCATGCACACACACTATAAAATATCTGAAAAACATAGAAAAGCAGAAAGCATACAAATGCCCATAATTCCTACTACCTGAAAACCATTTTATAGTCTTTTCTCTACCATACCTCCTTTAAGGACACCTTTGGCATAAATGATTTGGCACCAATAATTTAAAAATATGGTCTCTAATATTTTGAAGATCAAGGACACCTTTAATAATCTCATAAAGCTAGAGTCCAGAATCTTCTGGAAAAAAATCATGTACAGAGTACTGCATGCAATGTAAGGAATTTCATAGACCGTATTTTCAAGGTATTTTATTTTGCTAATTTAAATAACACTACCACAAACATTGTTATGAATACAGCTTTTAGGGTTTTTTTTTGAATTTAGGATTATCACATTAACACAGAGCCCCTGAAGTGGAATTACCGCTCAAAAGGCCATAAAGTTTTGAAGCTCTTGATAAATATCATCAAAGCCCTTTAATATCTTATGTTACCAATAATACAGGAATGTACCCATTTTACTCTTGAGTTTTACTCACCAGCACTGGGAATGATCACTCCCAATTTATGAATAAAAGAGTATCATGAAATACTTACTTTCCTTTGATTACAGGTAAATTTTAATATTTTCTAACATACTTATCCTTTTTTGGCCCTCTTTTATAGTTTATATACTTCCCATTTATTTTTGGGGGGATTTCAAATTAATACATTTATTTAAAATTACAGAGAAATCTAAAAACTTAGCCCTTTTCCCGATTATTGGTTATAAAAAGAAGAAAATTATATTCAGTGCCTTAAGAGAAAAATGGTCTTCATTTTCCCTATGAAACATATTTAACTATATGAAAACACAAGCGATAGATGAAAGTTCATAATTTCATCTACACGCTAAAAAAAACTGTATGTGAAGTTAAAATTTATTAAATTTACTAAATTTATTAAAAGACAAATTTGATAAATAATAGAGAATGAATTTACTAAAATGGTTAAAAAAAAGTACATAAAATATTTGACACTGCCTGTCTACAAGTAATAGGGCTGTTAAAATCTGATCCTGCTTCGCTGGGAGAATTCAAACAAAGGCTTTTTTTCTGAGCCTCACAAGCTTCCACTGGCGGCGGTCCCGGCGATGCAACAGCATCCGTGGGCTGCTCCCACACCCTGCAGGGCACCCCACCCTCCACGCGAGGAAGTAAGTGGGTTCAAGGCCAGAAGCTGGAGTAGGTACACAAAATACAGTCGCAACTGCAGGGCAGACGACAGAAAGCCCAACAGGGTATAGATACTTCTGATCCTCTGGACAGGGGCTATATTCTTAGCCTTTTTTTTCTCTGTTCCTGCGCTTTCTTACCACCAGTTAAACTAGTTCACACCCTCTGGAGAAAGTCACACACAAACTTTTTAATGGTCTAAATTTGAGTAAAATATTTCAGTTAATACATGATAAAGTATGTATTTAGCAGAGTTTCTCACTGTTCTAACATAATGCCGGATCATCTACAACAAATTTATAATTCTTCCTTAAACAATACTTTTCTTCTGAGTACAGCCAGTTTACACTCCAGCAGTTATTTAAACTGCTTGTTTCACTACATCCTTACTAATAACAAATGATATAATTTTTAAATTTTGATATACAACAAATATCTCATTTTTAAACTATAAGTTATTTGACTGTTAATATCTTCCTAATTACAAAAACCATTAAGAAAAATAAAAAGAGTAAGGAAAAAACCCTTAATTTGGCAACGAGATGGCTGCTACTGGGTAACATTTTGCTACCTTTCCATACAGTCCCTTTTCTATGCGTGTTTTTAACCTTGGATCATATTACATATATAGTTTACTATTCTCATATTTTTCACTTCCTATATCATATTTTTCCACGCTCCTAAATATTCTTTAAAAAGTGCCACTTTAATATATACGTAATTATTTATATTCCCAACCTTCTATTTTGAGATATTTAAGTTTTTTTCACTATTACAAATACGATTACAATTAACACTTTTATGCACATTTCGGACTGTTTCATAGGCAAATTCCTAGAGGAAGAAGCAACAGGTAAAATAATATGAACATCTGCTTTTGCGAAAGTGCTATTCAAAACATCCCTTGTATCAGTGATTATTAGTATTATTTTTAAATGTTGGCTAACTTGATAAGCTAATATCAGTACCTTGTATTTGATTATCAGTAAGGTTTAATTTTTTTCCCCCTGAGTTTTCATGTCCTTTTCTGGTTTTGGTGGTTTTCATCAATTTGTCTAAGATTAAGGTTATGAACCTGTGATACATGCTGCAAATATCGTTTGCTAGTTATCCACCTGCTTTCTAAATCTTGCCTGATGGCCAAATTCCAGAATTCTAACTTCTATACAGCTATTACTTTTATGTTTAGCAAGTCCTTCCGCTACGATCAGTTAAACATTCACCTACATTTTCTTCCAGTTTTATGGTTTCACTGTTTACATTTAAATCTTAAATTCATATGGAAACTGATTTATATTTTCAACTTAACCTGCAGAATGTTCCAAACTAAAAGTACTGGTGCAAACTGACAAAATTATGGAGATATCATTAATTTAAAAAGGCTTTCTGAAAGCAATGTTATTCTTGCAAGTGTCTACTTACTTTAAAGCAATATTTTACAGAGTAAAAGAAATCTATTTCCTTAAGACAAATTTGGGGGAAGAAAAAGATGGCAATGGGGCAGGAGATTTATTTTGGTTTATAATTCCAAATTAGTACTGACTACTACAGCTGGTGGTGATCGTTTGGGTCGATGATTAAGTGGTTATCAACAGCCCCCACTACTGCAGAGTCCATGCCACCAAAAGCGCATCTGTGGGCTTTAAAAGTTAAAAAAGAAAATGGGGACTAAAAAGGCAAACTATTTATTTTACTAATTTGTAAAGAAAACTTTTTTAAATGTCAACTGTATTATATACAGGAATACTGAATTTTCAAAAATTTAGACTGTCCAAAAAATACCGTTTCCTGGGTTGGCAGCACCGCTGCGGAGGCGACGCGCCCCCCCCTCCGGCGACACGGGGGCGGTGACACTCGGGGTGACGGAGAGGGGGGGTGC